ATCAAAGAAACGCCTAAACATTCCAACAACTCAAACTTGAATTGTATGAACGTTTAGGCCCTCTTCTCTTCCTCTTCGTTGTAGCACAAGGTCTAAGGATAGGTTTGGAGGGATGGGGAGTTATGGATGGTGTAGAATGATGTGTTTAGGATAAGGATGGATGTAGGGGACCTCAAGGCTTCTTTTTGGGCAGAAAATATGAAGAATGGTGAAGTATGGATGTGTTATAGAGAGGGGATGAATTTCTGGCGTGAATGGTTGTGTATGAGAGGTGGTAATCTGATCTAGGGGTTAATATGAGTATATATAGGCACTTAGAACCCTAGGGAAATCAGATATGGACTTGAATTAATTAATGGGAGAGTATGGGAGTGCATGTGGCTGATTTGTGGTGCAATGATGAAAAGGCAAAGTGCATGTGGCTGATTTGTGGTGCAATGATGAAAGGATGGAAGTGCATGTGGCTGCAATGGATTAAAGGATGGGAGTGCATGTGGCTGATTTGTGATGCAATGATGAAAGGATGGAAGTGCATGTGGCTGCAATGGATTAAAGGATGGGAGTGCATGTGGCTGAAATGTAGCCTTCTAGAAATCAGGTTTTTAGGCCCCCTTGCAACTCCCTAACTGAATTCAAGCCTTTCAAATTCGTCCATCCTCATGCCACCATGCTTGCACTATCCAATCTTGGCCCAAAAATGCTCTAGAATGCTCCAAATTGCTTCTTTTTGCATACTTTGACACTAAAACCTGAAATTGCACGAAAATAACTTTAAACACTATAATTAACATAGTTTAGCTAATTAAATGCAAGAAAACAAGCTAACTAAGTCGTATAAATATGCTCCTATCAGATAGTTGGAATCACAGTAGGCTCTTCGGGACCTTGTGTCGTGGGTTTCCTCTTCCGGGGGTGTGAATCCTTTGAACCAAGGGGTCTGCCATGCTTTTATGTAAAGGCAAATGATTGGCTAGCCACTAATGTACGTGGATCACCAAGATTGGCGCCCCAGGCTTCCAGGAGGGAAGTCCATCGTACATTTGGTACATCCATCTTTGCAAGCGGATTCGCAACTGGAATATGTGAACTTGTCACGTGCGCTAGATAGGTGAAGCCATCTGGCATGCTCTGAGCTATGCTCTGGAGATCTAATATGCGCTGCACTTCAGTTTCAGACTGAGGAGACAAAGTGGGGGTCGTCCAAGATAATTCGTGTCATTCTTCAGGAACGTTGACGTTCTTATCTTCCCCTAACAACAGGAAGATTGACTCATAGAAATGATAATCCGCGAAACGAGCGGTAAACAGATCGCCTATCAAAGGTTCTAAGTAACAAATAATCGAAGGATAATCATATCAGATATAGATTCCCATCCTTCACTGAGGCCCCATTTTTGTACATAAGGGCACCGTGCCCTCACATCAATGTTTTCCTTCTTTATTTCCACCATGTTGATCTAGGTGGCACTTATGCATGCAAAGTTACATGGGATGAAATCCCAACAAGCACATTCACGTGGCCACATCCAAAAGCATATACCATTTGGCACCATATTTATTTGCTGTTGTATATCCCAATATTTCGAACGTTCAAATCAATCGGGATATAGATAAATATCAGGTTTAAATAATTTAATATATTATTAAGAGATAATGTCATGATTAAAATCACAATATTATTTCTCAATAATAATTGAAAATCATTTCAACCACCCTGTCATTCAACGACACTCGATTACTCGGGTAGATAGTGTAAAATCGAGTCTAAACAAGAACATACAGGCTCTAATAGACATGTATTGGTTTAATTTTGCATGAAAAACTTCGGGTTTTCATGGGTGATGTTTTAAATGAAAACTTCAGGTTTTCAAATAAGGCATGTTTGTAAGAAACTTCAGGTTTCAAAATAATTATGAACTTTAGGTTCATATGTTCTTGCAGGCAAACACAAATATATACATAGAAATATGCAACAAGAATATGCAAAAATAGAACTTTAGGTCTTCAATTATAATTGAATTAATTATTTGGACTTTAGGCCAAATTTAAAGTGTGGGTGAAAAAATATAAAACCCAAATTTTCTAAACATAATAAACAATCGAAACTCAGGGCCCAAAAATATAGACCAAATACCACGTGTGGGCTGAACAAATTTGGTTTGTGTGACCCAAGTCCAAAAATTGGGCTAGGGTTTCTTGGGTGCAGGCTTCAAGCCTATGGGGAGGAGAGGAACAAAACAGGCCGCATCAGGCGAACCCCCAAAAGAAATCTATACAGCCAAGGAAATAGGCTGTTGTAGGCAAGCCCAAAACAAAACTTAAAAAAAAAAATACAAAAATTCATACGGCTTCTTCAGGCAAGCCCAAAAAAATTTTTGTTTTTGCTTTTGTTTTCCTTTTTGTTTTCTTTTCTTGGCAGGCCAGGGAAAATAGTTGGGCTGAGGGGAACTCCAAAGCCCAACGGGCTGGAGCTGTCACTGAGAACGGGCCAATCCTAAGAAAGGCTCGGGTTTTGGAACCAAACACCCTAGCATGTGATGGGTGAGTTTTGTCGGAGAAGAACGCCAGACTTGTCGTTCCTGGTGGCAGTCTAGGGTTTGTTAGGACTCGGGTTGAGTCATGGTTGTCGTTGACGACCATGGTGGTGAACAGAGATGATGTAATCTCAACGTTATAACAACCAAGCCCTAGAAAATTTAAATTGGATTTTTGAAAAAATTCTGATGAGATTCAATCGAATCTCAGTCCAATTTCCGGTGAAGGACGACTTCTGGTCGTCAACGATAGGAACCAAAGGTTCAAGGCAATGGCTGCAGGCCATGCCTGTGGTCGATGTGGACACGGACACCATCAAAGGTGTCGATTTTCTGGGTTGTGAAGCTTGGAGCTTTTGGCTCCGTGGGGTGATGGTTCTTGGCTTGGCGTGGGGAGCCCAACGACATGGGTGAGGTCGAGGGTTCGAAGAACCCTAGTTTTCCCAATCACAAAAAAAATAAAAATAAAAAATAAAAAATTGATTCATATATAATTCAATTCAAAGCATATTCAATTCAATAGTATAATGCATGTACATATATTTGGTGCAATTCATGGCAAATATCAAATTCATATAATTCAACAATTATGAATATAATGCATACACAATTTATGTAGAATATAAAATTCGAAAAATTAAAGTTGGGTCATGCATTATGGTGAATGTTTATGCTATCAGGCCTGCAAAAATATCGAGATAAAAACCGTTGTTTTGAAAGAACCTGATTGCGTAATGATATGGATGAACTAGTTTGATGCATAAATTTTTTCTTCAATTTCGGCTTTCCATCTCTAAAGCTTGTATCACGTTCAACACAAAAAATTTAAATTGAATCAATAAAAGTATATGGATCAATAAAATCAAAATTTAATCAATTAAAAATAATTGAAACGTATTACTCTCCTGATTGAAAACGAATAATTTTCACGTCAGATTCCTAAGCACAGCGGTAGGAGTGTGTTGATAACATGTTGTAGCCTATTTTATCTGACAAAGGGAATATGGCCGATGGCAAGGAGAAGAGAGATTGAGAGAGATGTGTTTGTAGAATTGTAGGAGAATGTGTGTGTTATCTCTCCTACATAGTGCCCTTATTTATAGTAGTATAAGGAGAGAAGATATTCCTTCATCCCCAAGAAATACAAGTTGTAATAGGAAAGGATAACTAGAATCAAATCTAATCTAGGATTTACACAATCACACTTAAACTAGGAAAGTTTACAACAATTACATCAATTTAATGAAAAAGTTTGTATCTTACTACGATCACATCAATTTAAAAATTCCTATAGAAAGGAAACAAATTGCTGCAATCGCATTAGTACGCCATTACAGTACAGGCCTCAACAATCCCCTCAACCATTTCACGAAAGGTTTGACCTCAACAATATTCTAATCTCAAATCAAAATTCGAAACCCAAATCGGAACTCTAATCCCCATTTCAAAATCCCAAATCTAAATCCTAATTTAAATATGATGAATTAAAGGGAAAATTTCTTACAATGAGCGAGACTTGATCGAGAGAGAGAGAAAGTCGGAGGGGAGTTGAGAGAGAGACGTGTGGTGTTGTGGGTGTGATGTGTTGAAGTTGGGATCGACCAAGACAGAGTCGACGAAGGTGAAACATAGAGAGAGGTCAAGAGAAAGGGTGGGTGGGGCCAGAGTCGAGATCAGGTGGTTTGGGCTCGAGTGGCCGAGTCGAAAGAGACAAAAGTTGGGTTACTGGGTTAAGGAAGAAGAGAAGACAATCTGAAGAGAAGAGAGAGAGAGAGAGAGAGAGAGAGAGGGAGAGAGAGAGAGAGAAACGGACCAAGAGACAAAGAAAGGAGTTTCAAAAGAGAGATAGTTGTGGAGGTCATTGGGATGTGGCGTGGGTGGCTGAAGTGGGAAATCAGGCCACAGAGTTAGGGGAGGAGGAGAGCTCGGGGAGTCAAGGTTCAAAGTTGGGAGGAAGAGTCGAGAGAGAATGATCTAAGTGAGATGAGGACGAGAAAAAGGTTGGTTTTTATTCAACAGCTGTCTCTGCTTCTCTCTCCCTTTTCTTTTTGGTCATGTGCCTACAAACTTATGTTAAAAAAAAAAAAAAAACCCACCCTGTGGTAAGCACATGAAACCGTATTATTTAATAATCTCTATTAATTAATGAAACCTTTTTTTGTCAACCAAATGAGGGTGCAAGACAACTTAATCTTCTATCACACAAAAAAATGATGTGCAATAATGTAATTTCACATGTCTAAATTTTACTGTTTTTTATTGAAACCTCACCTATAGATGATGTTAAAATATTTATAATATTTAAAATTTAAAAAATAAAAAATAAAAAACCAAAAAAAATAAAAAACTGCCACTCCCCTCATGTTCTCTCTTTCTCTCTCTCTCTTCCCTCCTCTTTTCTTTTCATTTTCTAAAAAAATGTGTTCATAAACACAAAGTGTGTAGGCAAATGCTAGTAATTCCTAATGAAAACTAGTAACAAACATAACTAGATAAATTCTAAATGGTCATATGTCACATTTTAATGCAGAGTCAAACAATTGCAGGCAGATGGGAGCTCTCATGGCAACCAACAAAATGCCAGAGAACCGTTTGAGACCAAAGCTTTCGCTGCTTAGAAAGACCCTGTAGCAGTTTGACAGGCTCGCCCTTGTTACTCATCCTAAATTGGCGATATCAGATGCAGAATGGAACATGGAAGAGTTCCCAATTCCCCCGGACAGCAGTACCAGCAGGAATGAGAAAGCTGAAAAGATATAACCATCAAAACGATTTCTTCTTGTAAGAAACCAGACCATGAACGCCACCTTCTACTTGTGCTGCTCCTGTTCTTACCTGCATAGTAAAATACATTGTCAACTGATTGAGAAACCATATTAGTTCTTGGTACGACCATCATTACATCTCAGATTCCTTGAGCAATAACAAGGTAATCGGAGTGCGCTTTTCCTTGAGGTAATATACGGGGATGGAAAACTATCTAAGTAAGCGAGGTCAGAAAACCCTGAGAGGTTACAGGGTTCTTTTCTGTAAGTAAATGAGTGTCTGAATGGTTTCTTCCCCACTCCTTTCGGTAGTTTAACCTAAGATTGTTGAACAAGAATACAAATGGTATGGAACAGACTACAAAGAGTAAGAAGTAAGTTATCGAAAGAAACATTGGCTACAATATCAATTCTCATTTAACGCATAAAACTAAAATGACATCCTTAATAGCGGTGTCAAGAGTACCACAACAACGTCTGCAAAATGGTCTACTTACCTCTAGCCTTAAAACGCTTGATTTTATGGGGTCATGAGCGGAATGCAATGAAGAAGCACCAAGATCTTGGAAACCTTGTTTCCCAGCTTGCATTGTGTATGGTATGAACTTCAAAACAGAACCTTTGTCTGCAACCGCCCCAACTACCCCCTGTGCAATTTTCAGCTTAGCGGTATCGCCCAAGTACAGGATCACTCCCTTTTGTCATTGCTTCAAGAGATCCCACGCCTCGAAATTTTTTGATGCGGCGACCATTCTAATAGAAAACATGAAATCACTTATATCAAACTGTTTCCTTAAATGAGGTTAAGCACGCAGAAATCTAATTAACAATGACAAAGAAATAACAAACAGCATGTTGCTTATAAAAGACAAGTACACTGAAAATCTAGTGCAATTTATATAGACAACTTTTGCTTTTGGTTCAGAAATAAAGCAAGATACATCATTTGGGTCGTAGGTTAGATTAGCAAAGACCCTCTGTTCAAATTGCTTAATAAGCTAATTCCCATAAAAAATAAAAAAAGGGAAAGACACAGAAATGAAATACTATGTCCAATAAAGTTCCACATAAGTTTAGTTTTGACATGCATCCATGAAAAACCCAATCAAAATTTCAGGGAACTGGACCCTTATTTAGCCTAATCCTAACCCATTTTGCCACTTACTCTCACCACTTGGGTTAACCCCTTACTGTATGTGGGCTTCAAACTTACTAAGTTCAGGCCGTCAGACAGAGAGTCCATGCAAACATACCAATGGCACTCCTAATGATGTAAAAGCATTAGATTTTGATGGCAAACCATAACACATCAATGACTGATCCGTCGAACGATATTGATGCAGTCCAAAAAGGATGGGAAATAACTCGGGATGTATAACAAACTTAGAAACACATATCTTCTAGGTAAGTTTCTTTACCAATCACATCTGCAATTCAGTATTCATAAATCTGCCTAATAAACTACTTAAACCACTCAAAAAGTTGTCAAAGAACTAGAAAAGACATATGTAGTAAACACTCATACAAACGAGAAGATATGTTCAAGTGGATTTAATATCTGATGGTATCAGCGGTATACCTGTTCCAGCAATAAAAACAAGAGTAAGTCCAAGACATACCTGATACACAAAAACCCCGGGAGCCTCAGTGCCTCCAGCTAAGAAGCTTCCCATCATGACAGTAGAAGCCCCAAGGACCAAAGCCTTGACAATGTGTCCAGAATTGGAAATTCCACCATCAGCAATCACAGGCACACCACTTTGTGAAGCAATAGACGCAACCTTGTAAACAGCAGTTGCCTGAAACATATCACCAAAACCAACACAACTTTGGTCATAAAATGGTAAAGCATTCAGCAACCTGTAGAACAAAACGTCAAACAAAGTCTTCAAAAAGTTCCAAAATGTAATTATATTTTTTTTCATGCCACAAACTACACTGTTTTAGTCCATCAAAGGGTTGCCACTGCCAGAAGCTAAAGTCGAACCTTTGTTTTCTACGTTCGGACTAATAACTAAATAGTAAAACACCCGTCAAAACAACGATTGTTAGGCACAATGTCATTGATTAACAAATCCTTAATCAAATATTTTTCATCCACAAAGAATTCAAGAAATTAAATCGATCACTACAAATATCATAACTTTCAACACCTCCAGATTCTACAAATCCTTAAATTAGCCGCCAACAATGAGAACAAAAACTAAAGCATCAATCATAAAAGCAACAACTAACAAAAAGAAGTCATCTTCATACCTGCCCGCGACTGACGGCGCAAACCTCTTGAGTGGTACAAATTGAGCCAGACCCCATTCCAACCCTCAACCCGTCAACACTAGCCTGAATCAAATTCTGCGCCTGACTCACCGTCACCACATTCCCGCCAACTACATCCAAACTCGAGTACATTTTCTTCACATACTTTATCATCTCAATCTGATAAATGGAGTTCCCCTGAGAGCTATCCAACACCACTACATCCACCCCTGCCTTCACCAACTCCTCCAATCTCTCCTTATCCGACTCCCTTGTGCCGATCGCCGCCGCGACCCGCCATGTCCCGTCCGGACCCACCGTCCCAACCTCAACTTGGGGTACCCTTTGATCCTCTCCACTTCCTCCTTCGCCACCACATCCACAACCTCATTGTCCCTCACAGTCGCCACCACATCTCGCTTTTTCTCCTCCATGTACTCCCCAATCGCCCCCAAATCGTAACTCCACCGCGCCGTGAGGTAATTTTATGTAATTTATTCAATTTTTTATTCTAATTGGTTATTCTAATTGGTTAAGGAGTGAGTGTCGCTCGTGTCATGTTATTATTTAAGAGTCAAGTTAATAGAAAATTTAACGAATGTTTGACATTATAACAAATTTATAAATTAATATATAATATTATAATATTTAAAATATGAGACTCTGGTTTGATTGATAATCAAGGTTGTTTTATATAATTTACCCTTTCAAATATTTCCTCTGTTTGCCTTGCTGTCAAATGCAGCAGCATTCTGATAGGAGCATATTTAGGCGACTTACTTAGCTTGTTTTCGTGCATCTATGTTGTTAATTCATAGTTGTTTTAGTAGTTTAAGCCATTTTCGTGTGTTTTTAGGTTCATATGGCTAAGGAAGCAAAAAGATGCATTTTGGAGCAAAATTGGGCTTGGAATGGATAGCATATGATTGGAGCCAAAGTGTTGGACGAATTTGAAGGCCTTGTATTCATTTTGGACATAAAACAAAGGGCCTAGCCCATTCTCTCTTAAACCAACCCCAAGGCCATGCATTTCCTTCCAATTCCAAAGCCCACAATCACTTCAAAAGCCATGCAAAGAACCATCCATTCCATCAAAAACAATCCATCAATTCACATGCAAAACCACCATTAACACACATGCACCCAAACAAAGCCAACCTAGCTAACCCTACATGCATTCTTTATGCAACTCTTCATCATTCCACCATTCATTCTTTATTCCACAAACAAGTCACATGCATTTCCACCTTCCTACTTCATCATTTCACCACATTCTCCCTCTTTAACTCATTTCATTATTCATTCACTTTGCATTCATTCAATTCCACCCCACATGCACCCTTTATTCTTCATCATTGCAACCATGGCACATTTACACCAACAAAACAACTCCCATGCCATGGCCTACTCATATTCCCATTTCCTTTCCAACATCTCACATGCATTTCCACCTTCCTACTTCATCATTTCACCACATTTTCCCTTTTATTTCCACATGCAATTCTTCATCATTGCAGCCACAAACACCTTAAACAAATAGCCATATACATATCCACTCCTCCTATAAATACCCTTGCATTCATTCATTCAAAAATCATCTCATTTCATACACAACACCACACCACAAACACTTCCATTCCCTCTCCTAGCCGTGGGTTTTCTTTCTATCTTCCATCTATCCTCCTCCATTTCCATAATCCCCCAATCCATTCAACACACTAACAACATCCCTTAGTCCTTGTGCCACAATAAAGAGGAAGATAAGAGGGCCTAAACGTTCATACAATTCACGTTTGAGTTGTTGGAATGTTTACGCGTTTCTTTGATTTCAAAGTTTAAATTCAATTCTCTTTGTTTTGTAATATGAGGAATGGAAGATAAGAGGGCCTAAACGTTCATACAATTCACGTTTGAGTTGTTGGAATGTTTAGGTGTTTCTTTGATTTCAAAGTTATGAGGAACTAAACCCTTTTTAGCTAGGGGTGATTTCAATACCATGATTATTTATGTAATATGAATTGATGAATTCCGGTTATGAACTCTTGATTCGTGAATGCAATTGGCTTAACTATTTGATGATTAACTTATTTGTGTTTGTTGATTGAGGGTCGGCACTTAATTAGCATGCATGAATATGTGGCTAAAGTTTAAGAAGGTTTCACATAATCGTTACTAACTTATACTTGAAAGTAGTGAAGGTCGCTTGTCACGATCGCGTTAAGTTTAATTCTTAGCATGAGTAACATGATGTCATAGTTGCAAGTGCTTTGTCAATGCTTATGGTTTTCATTATTCTTAATGATCTTCGATTGTATCTCTATTATGATGACATGTAGGGAACTTTTGAGAATGTTTTGGGTTGTCGAATGATGCCATCCAATCCAATAATATAAGGAAAATCTGAGGATTAACTAGTGATGTCACGGTTAATTTGGGGCATTGTCGTTCATAATTCAATGAAGGAATAACTGGAAATTGATTCATATGCATAAATATCATGTGTGGAGAAATAACCTCTAGCTAATTCACCAACCATCTTATTTCATCAATTACATTCTTGTTTCGTTATTTCAATTTTCATCAAACCTCAATCCCCCTTTTGCTTTAATGTGCAATATAGTTAGAAATCAATTTAGTTTGTGTTTTTAAAGCATTTTGATTCTTTTGGTTTGTCTTAGTGTTTTAACGTTTAGTTTCACATTCTTTGAGTCTAGTCTAACGTTTTATATTGTTTTTACGTTTTAGTTTAAATTCGTCCAAATCCAATTCCCCCCTATTTCGTTGAAGTCTTAGTCTTAATCTTTCTTATTTTTAGTTTTGCTTTCTTCGAGCATTAAATAGTATTTTATATTGTGTTTTTATGTTTTTAAGTCAATTTAGAAGGTTTTAGCAATCCCTCCTAATCCCCGGTCTAGAACGATCCCTCACTTATCCATTCTACTACAATTGTCAAACGAGGGTTTATTTTGAGTGTCAAGTAATTCTCGCATCAAATTTTGGCGCCGTTGCCGGGGATTAGCAACTTTGCTAATCCCTTGGTTCTTTTCTTTTTGGTTTAGTTGTTTTCGTTTTAGTTTCTAACTCAGTGTTGTTTTCTTTGTTTGTTGTTACTTTTGATATTTGATCTAGTTCTCTTTCTTTGATTTGAGGTACTAGAGAAGTAAGATATGGATTTTGCTAGTATTCAAGCTCAATTGGCAAATCTTACTTCTCAATTGTCGCCGTATGCTGAAAGGACCACAATGCATAGTGTCCCTACATTTGGTGCTTCATATAGGCAAGGATTTCAAGCCAATCAATGTCCACAAAGAGATTGGAGGGATCATTCAAACTCTATGTGGTGGGAAGCTCAACAAGTTCAAAGTGAAGCATATTGGCAGCCATATGAGGAGTTCTATTCAAGACCTATGCAGCCACCACAACCTCCTATGCAATATGCTCAATTAAATTCAAGTTCGTCAATAGATTATAATCAAATTCTTAATGAATTAAATTCTTTGGTGCAGGGGTCACAAAATCAAGCCAAGGAGGCTCAACAAGAAGCATATTGGCAACCTTACGAGGAGTTCTATACAACACCTATGCAGCCACCACAACTTCCCCCACCACAATTCCAATCAAGTTCAAGTATGTCCATGGAAAGTGATCAAGCTATGCAATTACTAACCTCTATTTCGCAGGGGTTGCAAAATCAAAACAACCGGATAGCAAATAACGAGAAGGAGATGATGGATATGGAGGAGCAAATTGGGCAGATTATGGAGTTCATGGAACAAATTCAAGAGCAAGAAGTGGATGAGGAGCTGCTAATTGAGGAGGAGGAAGAAGACATGCACACGGCAAGGGAAGAACAACCTTTGCTGCAGCCCCCTAAGCCCTCTAAACCACCCACCACAAGTAAGGACGTCCCAATTCCATGTTATTCTGATGTTATTTCACCCAATGTCCCTTTTCCTAGCAGGTTTTTGATTCCCAACCAAGAAGAGAGTAAAAAGGACATCGTGGAAGCCTTCCCAAAGGTTCAAAATGTTATTCTAACTCTTGGTGCAACACAGCAAGTTTTAGATGGTGTTGAATTCTTCAAAGGACTTTGTACACCAAGAAGAATGATTCAAGAGAAGGTTGTGGCTGGAGAAGATGTAGAAGGCATCAAAGAGGACATTAGACAAGGACCAATTCTCACATGCAATCTGGCCAAGTCCAATATCCCTGAAACTTTAAAGGGAGTGGTGTTTATTCTTGAGTTTATGTCAGAGCACACAGGTAAGCCGCCTCCCCGAATTTCAATTTTCTTTTATACTAATATGTTGTTAATGATCCAGGCACCCACTTTAGAATTTGAACCATTACCGGATCATCTCAAGTATCACCCCCCATTCAGAGATAAATTCCATGTCATGGGTCCTAAATGAGCCTAAGAAGGTTTCGTCCGGCTGCAAGACGTAAAAGAAAGCGCTACTTGGGAGGCAACCCAATACAGTAAATAAAACTTTTGCTTGTTCATTAATTTTTTCTATAAATTACAATTGTATCTAAACATGGCAGAAAGATGGAGCCTTTACAAAGGTTGTGTACGTGAGGCCCCACTACGTGGCAACACTCTCGGAGCAGGAGGCATCGGAACAGGAGGTCTCGGAACAGAAGGCATTGGAGAAAGAGGCATCGGAGCAGAAGGCATCGGAGCGGGAGGCACCGAAGATAGATCATTCAAGGCCCCAAACCTTGGTGGAACGCTGGATGAACCAGGAAAGAGGTGCCTCTGGAAGAAAGCTGCAAGCCTTTGACGGTCATCAAGCTCATCCAGTTTCCTCTTCATGCCTGTCGAATAATTGTTGGCAAGCACGTGCAAACTTCAGTTCTCGTACTTAAGCTGTTTGATCTCCTGCTTAAGACTCTCCACCTCCGCCATCAAGGATTCAACCTGACGGGAGCGAGCAAGAAGGCGTTGGCCCATGTTGGACACAGAGCCAGCGCACTGAACACTCAGAGCCAGGGATTCTTGAACGGCCAACTCATCGGACCGTCCTGAAAGCAGTTGACTGTCTTTGGGAGTGAGGAGGTTCCGAGCCACTATCGTAGCCGTTGTGGGATCCGTCATCACAAAGTCCTCATCTGTAAGAGGGCCATGGGAAGATAAGAAAGACGGGCACCATACCTTACCCTGACGAGGCGCGACCGGATCACTGCTTAGACTCAAATCTAAGCAAAGGTTCGATGGGTTGGATGAGCTAGCCATTGTTCACGAAGTTAAAAGAGAAGGGTTGGATGGAGTGAAATCTCGACGGGCCGGAGACGATTTCTGGGCAATTTTCAAGTGTGCATGCTAAGAGGTGATCGATCACCTCTATTAAAGGAGAGGCGTTCACCGATTCAGAATGAAGAGACACCACTTTTCAAAACCGGAATTTCCGGCGTAAAGATCGCCAGCTCGTCAGACGCAATCCCAGCTTTTCAGAAGACGCGTGGAAGGCGAGAAATCAGCTGCACACTTTAGCCGAC